CTGTTTTGCCAATCCGGTGCTTAAACAAATATAGCTCTACACCCCTGGCCTTAAAATGAAGTCCGAGTTCGACATTTTAATTCATGTCCTGCCAACACTGGCAGGACAGAAGGCGACACGCCCGTTCTAAGCCATGTCCTCACATCCCAAGCTGCATCCCCAAAACGTTTATTATGTTGTTACAACAGGGTTCAGGGGGAGTGGCTGTACGGCTGTACCCGTAGGATAGAAAAGGGGGAAGTGACGTCTGACTCAGAGGTCGCGCGGCTGTGGAGAAGAACGTGTTGCCCACATTCTGTTACTGAGTTTAGGCTTGTTAGCTAGCAGGTTTATTGTTTTGGGTGCGGTCACTTTTGCCTCCACTTGCTGTTCAAATAAATGTTGAAAGAAAAAGTAAATCTGTTTACAGTTCTGTTTCATATGGGTGAAGAAGAAGAAGAAGAAGAAGAAGAAGAAGAAGAAGAAGAAACCCTCTTTAATGGTCACACATGCAGAGCACACAGCACACACAGTGAAATGTGTTCTCTGCTTTTAACCCATCTAGTACTAGTACTAGGAGCAGTGGGCAGCTATTGTACAGTGCCCGTGGAGCAATGGGAGTGAGGGGGGAAGGGGGATGTCTGGTGCCTTGCTCAAGGGCACCACGGCAGGGCAGGAGGTGAACTGGGACCTATCCAAGTAGAAGTCCACACTCCAAATAGGTCTGGTCGGGGACTTGAACCGGCGACCCTACGGCTCACAGTCCAAGCCCCTACTGACTGCCATAGATTTAGTCCCTAATTTTGCTCTCAAAGTGCACCAGATTGATGCATTTAACTTCAACATTTAAAAAAAAATCTCCCCCCGGACCCAGGAGGTGAGGTCCACCACCTGCCCACACCCCCTGTTAAATTGTCTCACCCACATTGAAGATGCTTCCTACGCCCATGTTTTATTCCATGTGTCAAGTCAGGCAAATTGGGTCAAAATGTTATTGCATCAATGATCTGTTAACATTAAAATCACTAAATATATGCCGTAACTATTTTGCTCTAGACAACTCAAGCGCTCAGGTAATGTGATTACTTTATGAATAATGGTCCAAAATAACATTAAATGCATAGGGTTTTTTGTTAAGTTACATACTTTCGTCGCCGGCCGGCCGATACATGCCGCGCATTAAGTGGGCCTGTCTGTCAATTAATCCCCGGGCCACTTTTTCCCCCCAGTCCGCCCCTGGCCGTAACCGTAGCAGATCCAGAGATCCAGGCAGACTCATCATGCACGAGTCAACAGTAGACTCAGATTCGCAAATCCTGACTCACTGAATCAAGGGAACTTCCTTCACTTCCTGCAGACTCGTGGGGACTCAGAGCCGTAACCGTATAGCAGATCCAGAGATCCAGACTCGTCATGCACGAGCATAGTCGCGGGAACTGGGAAGTCATTTTACTTTGGGGGTGCGGACAAAAGTTGGGAGAGATTTCAAAAACTGTAACACGAAGTTTTTGAAATGTACACCATTCGCAGCCCCGCCTCCAGCACCCCTACTTCCCGCGGCTATTGTGCACGAGTCAACAGCAGACTCAGAGATTCGCAAATCCTGACTCACTGTGCAAAACATAGCAGACTCGTGCAAACTCAGAGCCGTAACCATATAGCAGCAGATCCAGAGATCCAGCAGACTCGTCCTCATGCACGAGTCAACAGCAGACTCAGATTCGCCAAATTGCAAAATAACCCTTTTTGTTTGTGATCAACATTTTTTATTAAAGCATAAGACACTGTGTAGCGGAGGTTAATGTAACGTTAGTTTAATATGCTCGTGAAATGCAACAACTTTTTGGTTTCACCGGAAGGATTTCTACGCTCTTGGTGATGCTGACTCATATGACTCAAAGGACTCGTATAATCCGGATCTCTTCAATGACTGACTCAAAAGACTCCGAGTCCGTAAAAGGATCCGGATTTGCAATCTCTATCACTAATATGTAATGTAATATACTAATATAATGGTACCAATCTCACACAACAAAACCCTTTTTTAATTTAATAAAAGAAGCCAAAGAAAGGTCAAATGTTTCCCAAAAACCAGCAGCCAATTAATTAAAAAAATATATAAGATTGAGATAGTAGGTAAAAAAACAAACAGGGAACAACTTTGATTCTTATCAGGAATGTTCCGGTTAAAGGATAATTAAATAAAGTAATTTTAAGTCATTACAAAACAAATAGCTAAAAATAATGAGACCACGTCTGTACATTTTCCCGTGTCCTTCCTCCTCAGACAGGTGTGTGTGAAGTGATACTGGCTGAATGTGTGTATTCTGATCTTATCCTAACATGAGGGCGACAACAGTGCACCCTCTTCCCTCCTGTGAGTCCTCGACATATACGAGGCGCCTGGTTTTGATACGGTCACCTTCCTCCTTGTTGTCTCTGCACCCCCACCCCTCCTGCTCCTGTTTTCCGGGACAGCTGGAGGAGCAGCTGCGGGCCGACAGGGCATCAAACGTCCCACCAGCCTTCAGAGTAATGTCCCCTTTAACCTACATGCGGAACCACCCAGTCTATTCACGCCTCGACTGGATGTGTCACACAACACAACGTCGCCGCCAGCTGGACAGAATGCTGCTTATAGACTGATGGCCTGTAACAAAGGCAATGTTCAGTGGTCCTCCTTGATGTCTCCTTCTTGCATCACATCCTCTAACTTACTTATCTAAATGTAAAAGACATTTTCTGGTTCTTACAAAAATGTTTAATTAAATAACTATTATATTTATTATAATTAAAGACACTATTGTGACACTACTCACTGCTTTTTCAGGCAAAGCTGCACAATATACAAGGCTATACTATTTACTATACAAAGTTAGAATTTAAACTGAAATTGAATATTTGCTTTAATGATATCTGCCCTTGAAAGACCTCACTCCCACAGAGCTCCACCCACTTGTCCAAATATGGTCACTTCTGGTTCCAAACAAATCATATATGATGTAATGTATCATGTCAAAACTAATTATATGGTTTTATACATACAAATAATCCCATTTTCATGTCAATATGATAAAAAGGTTCTGACTTGGTGACGCCTAGTAGCAGTTTGCATGTTATAGATATTCCCAATCCTCAAAGGATGAATCTTAATAACGGTGGTGGTGACTCACACTGTTTCTTTGGCACCACCATAGCACACAATGTGTTTCATGTATGCAAGATATGTCCAACATATGGGTATATTGACATGGAATTTCATTCATTCATACCCCTGAAGAACCTAACCTTCTATTAGTTTTAGTTTATCCCTTAGGGAATAATATTAGCCCTACACACGATATCTCACTGCAGTACACAGCATTTGTCCTTGAGCAGATGTACTCTATGATCATGTCCACACACACACACACACACACACACACACACACACACACACACCCCCCCCCCCCCTTCTCTTCCTGTCCCCCACCTGCACAGGTGCGCACACTGGATAGCGGCGTTATCCGTGACACCCGTCTGCCGTCCAGCTCCAATGTTAGAGGAACTGGCACTCATCCAGCTAACACACACACAAATACACACACAGACACACACAAAGCTATAGGTATAGGGAGATAGACACTCGTTAACATTCCTGGCCAGAGGCTCGGAACGTAACTTACTATGCACTCACACAAGGACAGACACACACACGTCTCATTTGTCTGGTGTGTTGTCTGAGCAAACAGAGGCTGTGGAGGAAGGACAGGGCCAATTACAGCCTTTTATCCTCAGAGCACACATCATTAAGGAGAGCTCACAGGGCTGATGGCACGCACACACACACACACACACACACACACACACACACACACACACACACACACACACACACACACACACACACACACACACATACACACACACACACACACACACACACACACACACACAAAATGTTTCCCCTGTCCCTCTTTCTTTTCACACTCTTAAACACTGATGTGCTGCAACACTTTTTTTCATTTCATCAGATGACAAAAAAAAGGCCAAAACCTGAAAAAATATCGTACAGAGGGACATTGATCATGCCACACCTGATAAACACATCTTACTGCAACGTGGGGTCTCAGAGGGTGTGTTTGTGACAGATCAGAACTCCTAATGTCTGCCAGATCCCCACTTTTAGTGCACACACACATTGTTTGCTTCACTCTGGGAGTCGCACAGCTTTATGTTGTCATTTAAGGCATCTGTGTGCGTGTGATTTTTAATGATGATATGACATTGATTAACTCCATATGGTATAATAAAATAATGTCAGCAGGGTACATCCTATATCCGTCCCCTTGAGTGTGTACGTGTGTGTTCATTGTTGAGCATCTTAACTCCAGCCTGACTTCTGTACAACACTTCATATCCTGTTTATCTTAGCATGCCTTAGCTCTTATTAGATTGGAGTTGGAATACATTCATCTGATTGCTTCATTTAAATAACAAAAAATGGACTATCATTAAATGTGCAGTTTAACTTGCTTAACTGTTTCTGCAAACATAGCATTTGAAATGGTTACTTCACTAGTAAAAGTTTTCCCCGGCCAGTCATAAGTCTCATTGGGAAATCACCTGCAGCACCCTATAGCATTCATTGCTGTAATGTGCAATTGCATACATTGCTTTTAGGAATCAATAAGCCAACAAAAAAAAATGTTTCAGCACATCCCACTTCTACATTTCATGCAGCCTCCCCCTCACTCTAGATCTCCCTCCCCAGCCACATCCGATCTGCCAACACTTTCACGTCATTCAAATAATCCCTCAAAACTCATCTTTTCCCTCTTGCCTTCAATTTCTAATCCACTAACCCCTCGCCCTTATTCCACCTAGTTTAGCAGTTTTTACTTTTGTTGTTGTTTTTCTTCTTTAGTTGCTTGTAATGCACCTTGAGCACCAGGAAAAGTATAATTATTATTATTATATTTAACAAACTCCAATTCTGAATATGTTCTTGGCAAAAGTGAGAGATAACAGACGGAGTGTACCTTGGCTGATGACGGCCTTGCGGTTGCGTCCGTCCAGGTCGGCCCTCTCGATGACGTGGTGCTTTGCGTCCACCCAGTACATGCGGTGGCCGGCGTAGTCGATGGTGAGGCCGTTGGGCCAGAACAGGTGTGTGTCTGCGATGACCCGCCTGTTGGAGCCGTCCATGTTGGAGTACTCAATGCGAGGTGTGTTGCCCCAGTCTGTCCAGTAGATCTTACTGCAGGGGAAAGTGGGACAGTCATGATTAGTTTTCTGTTTCAAGAGGTAAACAGATTGCTGTCAGGAATCAAGACACAACACTTGTCAAATATAATAAAACGTCCCCTCTGTCCACGACATTCATGTCCTCTTCATCATCACTCATCGGCTCCGACCGGCCTTAGAGAACAGAGCAATCTTTTTTTTGTGGATATTTTTCAATTATCTCATGCAAATGAGCTTCCTAATAAGTTGAATTAGTTTTTTCTAGCCTAAAAATGTATCTTGGGCTTCATCATAAACTCCATCCTGCCACTGCAGCACATGAAACTGGGGATAAACCCATTTAGCTGCTGCCCCTTTCATGAAATACTTGTTCCACACAGATGCTCGTATGTGGGCAGTGCTGTGCTGCCAAACTGTAATCCCCGCTCCGCTGCTGCACAACAACTGGGACACATCCAGAGGGGATATGTATAGATGGGAGAGCGTGCATTTGATGCCATCTGCAGTGAATCATACGTCTTATGTGTGTGTGTGTGTGTGTGGGTATGTGTGTGTGTGTGTGTGTTTGGACTCATACCCCTCTATGGGGTGCAGCGCGATGGCTCGGGGCTTCTCCATGTTCTGCCACAGCAGCACTTTGCGGTGCGTCCCGTCCAGGTTGGCCACTTCGATACGGGACGTCCCCGAGTCTGTCCAGTACAACTTGTCATGGATCCAGTCTATGGCTAGTCCACCTAAAGGAGACAAAGCACAACTAGGAATTTGTCTGACCATACTTGAGTTTTAAAACTTTGGTTTTGTATTAATTTTAAATGATTATTCATGAATACCTGAAAAACATACAATACAATGACTCTAGGGGGATTGGTAGTTTAAGGTTTTGTTTCTCCTTCGGACAGAGCGGAGCTAGCCTTAACCTTTTTTTTCAAACCCTCATGATAAGTTAAAGGTAGGGTAGGTAAGAATGGAGAAACCCGCTCGAGTGCGCTAGAATCTGAAAGTACACAACCGGAAAAAATCTGCCACTTCCTTCAGACTTCCTTACAGAGCCCTTCCTCCAACACACACGAACGCGCACATGACCAAGATACGTTTGTGCACAGATGGAAGGCTGACAGGCAGGTAGGCCATCCAGTTACTTTAGCCGGGCCGGCTCAGATGATTGGTCGTGCTTTTTACAGCGCCACGGCTTCCACAGATGAAAATTCTTTATGTATTTATTGTCAAAGCATTTAATTTATTCATTGCTATCGGGATGTTAAGAGCATTCCATGGAATATAACAAAAAGTGTTTCTGAAGTGAATTACCTACCCTACCTTTAAGCTTAATAAGAAAACTCCAGCCCAATGTTGAACACACAGACATGACATTTATACTGATTAAAAAAAAACCCTGTTAATGTCATCTTTAAATAGGTGTTTCATTATCTGATCCATATATCCCAATATTGTATTTAATTATTGTTTGTACAATTAAACTCTGCCCTTCCCCGCTTTGTTAACCAGTTTGGTTTTCAAACCATGTCATTAGAACATCGAAGCAATAATCAATTACCATTTTATTTAATTGAGAACTAGAGAAATACCAAAGGTAAAACAAATATAAAAAAAACACTGAAATATTATTAAAAATGTAGTAACAGTGAACTATACTGAAGATAAAAAGGAATAAGAAGGAGGGGGAAACTGGCCAAAAGAGCTTAAGACAGAGTTCAGACATTGAGGCTGAGAGAAATTAAGTGTTTCAACAGTATTAATGTCACACTGGAGGCGTGTGGTGCAGTGGGTTGAGTGTTGGTGTATGGATCAGGGGGTCACAGGTTCAAACCCCACTGCAGTCAGCATGTCGTTGTGTCCTTGAGACACTTCACCCCAAATTGCTCCTGTGGGGATTGTCCACAGGATTGAGTATGTAAGTCGCTTTGGATAAAAGCGTCTAACAAGTGACATGTAATACACTGCTGAGCTCATATATGAACAAGATGATGGATGAAGTGAGGGAGAGCGGAGTGTAGCGGGAGAGAAAGCAGCAGAGTTGGATACAATGTATAAACGATATATATGCCTGCTATCTGGACATGCGTTATGTGTTACAAACCTGGGCTCTCCAGACCGGTGGAGACCACCTCTTCCACGTTGGAGCCGTTGAGGTTGGCCTTCATGATGCGGTCCAGCGTCACGTCAGACCAGTAGACCTGCTCTTGTGCGTGGTGGAAGTCCAGGGCGATGGCGTTCTCCAGGTTGTTGAGCAGCAGGGTGTACTCGGAGCGATGCGGCAGAACCTGACGGATGTCGATGCGGTTGGCGAACAGCAGCACAGGCTCCGGACCTAGAGGATGGAAATACAGAGACAGAGTAAAGTGAAAAGTAAAACAGCATGGAGCCAAACATGAAGTGAAATTTGGGGAAAAAAGTGAGGGCCGATGGAGCATTCATCTCAGTGGTGATGAGGGTCTGGATCCTGACCTGGATTTAACTCCATTGTTGGGCTGCTGTACCAGGCCTGCCTTCACTAAATCTAGTCCAGACCCCCTGCATCATCAGACCCCGGAGCAGAGGAATGGATACAGTTACAGCTAAAGTAAGTATAAACAGTGTAGCAGGGTGTTTTTATTGGAGGTCAAACCCCAGCAACTTCTCTGCGGTCACATGTCAAGGTTGAAAAAGAGTGCAGTGTTATTTTTTACCCAGAGCTTTGCAGCTGCGTTTGTCAGGTCGGAGCTCGTAGCCCTGAACGCACCAGCACTGGAACCCCCCCTCTGCGTTGGTACAGCCCTGGCTGCAGTAGCCTTCTTCAGCACACTCATCCACATCTGGAAAGGGAGACAAGAGGGGAGGGACAGAAGGATGCTGGTGTTAAACTCCCGCAGGGTTTTGCAATTAATTCAAGAGGGAAGTGTAACGAGGGGGCTTCAGGGTGAACAACTCATTCACACTTTTGGAACACATTGTACTTTTTTTCCACACCTCATGTATTCTCAATTATTATCTTGTTATTGCAAAGACACTTTTCGAATATGGGAGCAAATATAGCTTCTACATTAGATTTAAAAATTCCACCAATAAAATGTGGGAAAGAATCCCAAGTCAAGTCCACAATACTTCTTTAACCAAAACCTTAACTTTCCAGGAAGTTCCATGGAAATGTGTTCATGCTTTTGGGAAATATGCTGCTGACATAAGGACAAACTGACTAATGGGAGTGAACATAAGATGTGCACACACTCTCGTGCACACACACACACACACACACACACACACACACACACACACACACACACACACACACACACACACACACACACACACACACACACACACACACACACACACACACACACACACACACACACACACACACACACACACACACACACACACACACACACACACACACACACACACACACACACACAGCAGTACCCTGGCAGGCTCTGCCGTCGTCCATCAGTCGGTATCCGGTGTGACAGGTGCACTGGACCAGGCCTCTGACCATCTGACACTTCTGGGAGCAGCCTCCGTTATTCTGGTTACAGTTGCCCTCGCTGGAACGTGGACCTGCACGCCGCACAGGAACATAAACACAGCATGCTGATTCAGAAATACAACCACACACTGTAAAAAGTGTGACTCATCTGGTGGTAGCAGGTTTAGTGGGGCATTAGGCCTAAATCTCACCTTAACTAAATATGTTATGTATTCATATTTATGAAAAATTACTTATCTAACAGCAAGGTAAACCATTGAACATATAATATACTGTAACATAAGGGTTTTTCAAGGGGTCTAAAATGCTTTTTCCTAGTTTACTCCTAGTGTTTATCCAAACTCAGGTAGTATTATCATCTATTATATGTGATACACTGACTACGGACCTCATAAAACTCCACTTGAAACGACCAAAATGTACCATTAAATCATATTCAGATAATCATATTCAATCTACTCACGGCAGTCATGGTGCGGGTGTTCGTCAGTCCCGTCTCCGCAGTCGTTGACCTCGTTACACACCTTCCTCTGACCGATGCAGCGTCCATTACCACACTGGAACTGATCAGGAGCACATGGAGGACTCTCTGTGGGGAGAAAAGATAATATATCCTGTGAGACAACAAACTCTCCTCCTCTTTATTTTGGAGCTATTTTGCTTTGTTTTGGGTCGTCAAAGCTCCAAATTATATCATCGTCATTGAGTGTTCATTCTGCGCAGTGATACGGTTGGTGTAGTTTAATTGAAAAACATAGTTCCTACATAAAAAAAAAGAAGCTATCATTAAGCTCTGTGGACTATTTTACGTAACCATGTAATGATTTCTGAAAATAGACACAGCTGTTGAGTTCTTCATACGGCTGTCATCCAGTTTCATCATATCAGACAGAAGAGAGAACATGCCATGGCTGATATGCTCAGCCACTCACACCAAAACATGGAGGTGAGTCATATGCATGTTTTAGGGGGTGTGAATTGTCCACTTTTTCTCTTTCCTGTTCATTGATCATTTATATCTCAACATTAAGGCCAGGTTCTACAGTTGGTCCAGAGGTTGATAAAGCAGCAGAATAATTGCCAAACTGATCAGTCTATTGGTTGAAAGCCACTGTTTCTCAACAGTATGACAAATAAATAAAAGTGAGTTTGTATGTAGAGGAGGGCTGTTCTGAGCTGTTGTCATGACAACGTTTGAAGCTGGTGTTATATTTAGCTCCTGAAATCAAGACCACGAGCACAGTCTTACCCGTCTTCTCACAGCCCTCTTCATCACTGCGGTCGGAGCAGTCAGGCTCGCCATCACATCGCCATGACAACCGTACGCAGCGTCCAGTCCCACAGCGGAACTGGTCGGCCGTGCACATGGACGTGGCTGCAGGAAACACACACACACACACATTTAATGTATTCTTTCTTAGATGTGATTTGATAAAGTGCCTTGTTTTTTCAGAACCAGCATGAAAACTGGGATAAAATGCATAACCATCTAGAATTGGTATCTTATGCAGAGCACACACTCGCTCAGTCAGTGTGATGAAAGCAGCTACTCACTGCAGTTCTTCTCGTCTGATTGGTCGTCACAGTCGTATTCGCCGTCACACCTCCAGCCAGCGTTGATGCACATCCCGCTGCTGCACATGAATTCCACTGATCTGCAGGGCTGGTGGGAAGCTACACACACACACACACACACACACACACACACACACACACACACACACACACACACACACACACACACACACACACACACACACACACACACACACACACACACACACACACACACACACACACACACACACACACACACACACACACACACTTATTAACATGAAAAACAAAACAGACAACACAACTATACAAGCATCTTTTTAGAATAAAAAATCTCTACTTGGAGTTCGTTATTCTGTCAGAAATACAAAAAATACTCCGGTTTCAGCATCGAGGAGAAAACATCAGGTTGCTTTTAAAAAAACAATATCAAAAGTTAAAAACTTAAAACTTAATTTTTCTGTAAAATGTAAGTTAAAGGTGGGGTAGGTAATGTTGGAGAAACCAGCTCGAGATCGCTAGAATTTGAAAATACACAGCCGGAAAAAATCTGCTACTTCCTCACACAGCCCCTCCTCCAACACACACGAACGCGCACATGACCAATGAGGGCACGAGATAAGTTTGTGCACAGATGGAAGGCTGACAGGCAGGTAGGCCATCCAGTTACTTTAGCCGGGCCTAAAATGATTGGTCGTGCTTTTTACAGCGCCACGGCTTCCACAGATTTTATGGATTTGTTGTCAAAGCACTTAAGATATTCATTGCTATCGGGATGTTAAGAGCATTCCATGGAATATAACAAAAAGTGTATCTCGAGCCGGTTTCTCAAACTTACCTACCCCACCTTTAAGGTACAACATTGAATTTTCGGTTATTGGATCAATATGTGAGGAGATCCAAACCCTGATCATTTGTCATGAACAGTATATGAGAAACAGGGCATTAACTGTGAAATATACAAAAACAATGTAAAACAATGCTCTTTTATCGGTGTAGCATTGTGCTGCTGCCAGTCTTCTCTCACTATCTGGGTATTTTCGACACATTTTGGAATAGGTCCAATAACCCTGGGGTTTATTAGGGTGGTTCTCTGTCTCAATCTATTTTTGGAAAGGACTTGATTTAAAAACTGGAAAGACACACGGTTTTATACCAGTGATCTAGCTTTCCCTTTAAACACGACTCGGTCCTGTTTATTTTGGCTGCCTTGTGATCATCTCTGACTACAGATCAGAGCTGTCCCACCTTTCAAATGTCCCACCACATCTCAACATGTGATCGGATCAAAGAGAAGCTCAAACTGGCAGCAGACGAGGCTGGAGGTGGACGAGAAGATTAAAGCTGAATCAAACATAAGCATCTTAAATCCCTGAGTGTGTGTGTGTGTGTCGTCTTCTGCATGTCCTCCTGACGGCATGAGTCGGCTCCCATCAAAGCCACAGTGGGCGGGAGATAAGGGAGGAACAAAAATGACAAACTAAGGGAATGCAGGGGGAGGAAAGGCAAGAAAAGAAGGGATTTTGTCGAGCTCCAAGCATCACCGTGAAAGCTTATCAGCTGGGCGAGAGAAGACAGAGATGTTCAAAACAGCAGGTGGCTCTCCCACAGAGAGAGAGACGGAGAGAGAAACGTATAGGTCACAAGAACCATCATGGGATGCCAACAAGCACGCTGGCGCCAACACACACTCAGATGATTCATCCTTCTCCCTCTCCCTTACACACTCACGGTTCTCTTTCATCTTCTCAGCTACGCACCCGAAAGCAGTATCGGTGTTGGTAAGCGGTAACGAGGCATGACTTTTTTGAGTGTTTTTGGATGTGTGTGTGTATGAGTGAGGGAGAAGGAAATAGAGGAAGAGAGGAAGAGGGAGGCTTCTTCTCTAACAAAGCGCCCTTCATGTGTCTGGAGAGCCGATGCCAAGGAATGCTGTCTGAGGATGGGCCGTTTTAGGCCTCTGAGGAATGCCCCCTCTGTGTGTTTGTGTGTGTGTGTGTGTGTGTGTGTGTGTGTGTGTGTGTGTGTGTGTGTGTGTGTATGTGTGTGTGTGTGTGTGTGTGTGTGTGTGTGTGTGTGTATGCCCACACAAATCTGTGGGTTTCTGAAAGCCAAGATGTATTCAGACTTTTTTTAAAAGATTAATGAAATGGAATTCATTGCGATTTTGTATGTTTAAAAAGTACAGGAAATGAAGAGTCAGGGTGACATGAGGTCATTCTAGTGTCTAGATTGAATAATACAACTTGTTGGTTTCTAAGCCAAAAGTATACATATGACTCTTGTGTTGCTTTAATTCCACTGCACACTTTTTTTTGTCCCCCTTTCATTATTGTTTTCACTTTTTTAAGCTTTGCTGCCAGCTCAACTTTCCAAAGATACATATTAAAAGACTTCAGAAGCGAGGCGGCAATTAAAAAACCTGGATGTGGGAGGAGACGGGGGAGAAACGGAGAGCTGCTCAGTCAGCTAACATGACCAAAATACGTTAGGAAGAACCTTGAAGCTGCGCTTATCGCACTGCAGATAAACACATCAAAGGGGGGAAACTGCTGTGTTTGAAAGTGTGTATGAGAGTGAGAGAGATGTGGAGGATGGTTAGAGAAAATGAGCGAATGAAACAAACATGTGAGAAATTAGAGAGGAGAGAATGAGGAGGGAGATGCTGAGAGATTTGTCAGCAGCAGGCAGCGTCTCCGGGGTGGGGAGAGCGAAACACGATAGTCTGTGTTAATCAGGACCATGGCTTCACACTGTGTCTGTGGGTTTCTGTGTGTGTGTCATACAGTGACAAAAAAAGATCTAACAGACAGAATGTCTTCCAGCTCTCACAGATGCTGTGGAGCGGCGCCCCCCAAAAAGCAGCTGTTGATGAGCTCAACCTGACGTCAACTGACTGTGAAATCGTGAAATTGACACTAAATGTTACGATGATTTCTGCATGTATTACTGCCTTATGTCCAATACAAATGACTTAAATGGCAAAAAAAGTTCAAAATGAAATGCTTAACCCTGAAACCCTTTAATTGTTCTGCTTTGTAAAGACTGTGCGGGTGTCGTGTGACCACACTTGAAGCTGATCCAGCTTGTTGCTGTTTTATTTCAAGTCTTTGGGTTTTTGGACTGCTTCCTGGACAAAACAAGTCGCTTGGCAGTGTCATTCAGCTCACAGAAGTATTTTCCATATTTTTCTGACATATTACAGATTAAGCAATTAATCAGTTGTTCCAAAACTCAAACAGTGTGCCCCCTTTGGAAGTGATTCAGCTGGTGCATCCACTCAAAAATTACACATAAATGCCTGTCTAGAAAAGCCTATAATGTTCATTTAAACTCCAGCTGAACTAGTAGAGCAAGCTGCATGACACGAGGATGACTCTGTTTTGGTACACATGTGCAGCAGTGCCATGGGGGGGACATGAAGGGGAGAGAGTGATGCAGAGGAGAAGAAGGATTGAAGGGAGGAAGGGTGGCTGCCACAGGGAGGAGAAACTCTCATCTAACGGCATAACAGAGGACTGATGTTCCACAGCAGCGCCATGTTCTCCTCCTGCACAAGACGCTGTTTAGTGACGAGCGATGCCGTGGATCATGCAGAGTATCAGTGAGCAAGGAAATATCAGCAGCTCACTGTGAGCTTAACGGCAGGAAGGGCTGGTTCGCTCCAAAACGTGTTTCTTGTTTCTTTTTGGAGATATGTTGGAGTTTGCATCTTAGATATTCAAGTGAAATCATTTTGAAAACATTTCCTTCTGCCAAAAGAAAGTTTACTAAATGTAAGGCAGCATTAGTCTAGCTGAGAACTATTATGGCAAAAATAAATTAGGAATAGGGAATAATAATACTTTTTTTTCAGGAATAAGAATAGCTGACGAACGAGAGTTTTTGAACATTCTGAATACAAATAATGACTGGAAGTTTACTTAAATGTAATGACCTTTTTTTGACTAAAACTATGAAGGATAAAAAAAGACTCAAATCTGCCAATGTAATTTTGTATAAAAAGTAAGACTTTACAAGTTAAACGAAAAAAAAAAAGCTAGACTAATATATCTGCTAGTGGATGATTGTCTAAAGGGGAAGATTCTCTGTGAGGTTGGAGGTTAACCAACACCTAGAGTCAATGTCAGGTCTTCCTAAGTGTGTGTGTGTGTGAGTGAGTAAAGGAGAGCTTACAGCAGTCCGACTCGTCTGACCAGTCTCCGCAGTCGTCGTCTCCGTCACAGTGGTAGATGTCCAGGATACAGCGGCCGTATGCACACTGGAACTCCTCCACACTGCAGGTGGCTGCCATCACATCTGAGGCTGCACACACACACACACACACACACACACACACACACACACACACACACACACACACACACACACACACACACACACACACACACACACACACACACACACACACACACACACACACACACACACACACACACACACACACACACACACACACACACACACACACACACACACACACACACACACACACACACACACACACACACACACACACACACACACACACACACACACACACACACACACACACACACACACACACACACACACACACACCACGTTAAACAGATGCCGGAAAAGATGGTGCAGCAGCTGGCTGCCTCAGGCTCTTTGAAGCTTCCTCTGCAGTCTGTCAGAAACTATACATGAAATAAAGGAGAGACTGCACTCTCTATTAAGACTGAACACATGCTCTGCAGTAAACCAGTTACTGTTGGATCAGACAACAAACCCAATAACAACCGTTTAGATGTGGAAATGTATTCATTAAGAATCATTTATTTTTTGTTTTCTAACCGTTATGGATAATGAGATGAATCACTACCACAGTATGTGTGATCGCTTTTCTTTTCCTGCTTCATGTTTGATTCATTCACTCTCTAATGAGTCCAGGAAAACAAATCTGCAATGCTAACTGGGATTCTTTTACATAGGTTTGGGAAATTGGGCTTCTCTCATTAGCTTGAACTAAAAGCCAGCTAAACACACTGATTGATGGGCTTCCCAGGAGCCACAGCTTTTAGTGGATTAAAGTCTACATTAAAGTGGATATACATAATAATAATAATGGGTTTCATTTATAACGCACTTCATATTCGAGTTAAAATCCCAAAGTGCTACAAGCAGTGAGTATGGGACAATATAAAACAGTACACAACACGGTATAATTGAAAAAAAAGCAGTAAAAACAAACAATAAAAACTCTTTATGTAGCTGAAAATGGCTCCCTAAAGAAACACTATTTGTTTGGTAATCAAAACCGAGTAGTGCTGCCTGTTACCAATCATTTTTGGGGAAGACATTGAGCACCTGACACAAACCATTGTTTAGGCTCATATTGTCTCTGACAGCATAGACGTTAGATATTTAAACATCTTTAAATCAGCTCACAGGAAGGCTAAGTTTGAGCTACTACCTTAAAATGTATCCTGCCTGTAGGGCATTTAAAATATATATATGTTTTCAGTGGTAAAACAGTTTGTCTCTGTGTGGTGAAGGCCCAAACCTTGTTTCACAACTCAAACTACCACATACCGTGTGTAGTTGATTCAACCTGAGGAGCATTATCTCTGGTTTCTTCCTGTCAGGGTTCAAAGTAAATATTTCGATTTCCTTTTTACTTGTCTGGTTCGGCAAGTGGGTCACAAATCTACTAACCCACCGTATATTTATTTGCTCTTAAACTAATTGTTTCATTTATGAGCGGCAACAAAGACTAAACCTAATTGTCATGTTTATTCTTTATTTAAATAAACAAATCCAAGTTTCACCCACATCCTAATATGCCACCCAACTCAAATCCCATTTCTATCATTTAAAGTCTGCACTATGTGTTTAATCACTGCCGTTTTTTTAAGTGTCAGATTGGAATTAGAGATGAGAAGCAAGTGAGACGTTTCAGATTTTAAATACTTCCATCGTCAGTTCCAGAGAAAATTGTATGTTTACTTTTTATTTGCCACCCTAGACTGCAATATTTACTAACCCCAAGGGACATTTTGCCTGCTCTTTAAAAGCAGGCAATCAGTATCGTTTAGCCATGTCATTTTTAAACATACACAATTATATGCACACACTGGCAGAGTAACTTACGACAGTTTTCCTCATCTGATCCGTCCTTACAGTCCGTGTCTCCGTCACAGTACCAGTGCTCCGCGATGCAGCTGCCATCTGTGCAGCGGAACTCCTTATCCGAACATTTACGCATGTCTTTTATTGAGGAAGAAACAAGTGTTTAATTTATAAGTTAGAGTGAATGAATATGTGCTTGCATGACGGTGTTCATGTGTTTATACCCACCACACTGTTCGTCACTGTTGTCCCCGCAATCGTTGTCGCCATCACAGTGCCACAGGCTGCGAATACAGTAGCCATTTTGGCATTGAAACTCGTCTTCCTCACACTCTCTGGGAGCTGCAGGGAGATAACAAAGGATAGAGAGGTTTCAGAGGACATGTTATGAGGTTACAACAAAAGCAAATAGCAGATACTGGACAAGAATGTGATAAGAAGAAGTAGTCCCTGAGCAGTGCTGACATTATATCTCCAGCTGCAATGATACAAGGGAAACAGTGGCATTTTATATCAGCCGCAGAGCTCGGGAGCAGCAACTTATTTTGTAAACTCCGTGAACCCTCTCGAGGTCGCAGGTCTAGAGCTCAAAGACCCACAGACTGAATATCCTGTGTTTGATGCTGTCTTCATGGTCACTGACTCAATCCAAGATGTGTAACAAATACATAATAAATCACACTCAGCGGTTAGTTTACAGTTATGCTGGGTCAAATGGATGACGTGAAAAGAGAATTGATATTTCCATAGATATGTCTCAAACTACAACTAAGACATTATATAGTCCTAATCTCCATTGTCCATCTGCAAAGTGTATACCAAACATGAAGTTTACCCAATTTGAGCTCAATACACTGCATTTAATTCCATCATTGCTACTGTGGATCTCACAAAAGTGCTGTTTTCCCATTGGTCAGAAAACATTCAACTGTTAAACGTGTCAGAAGTCTTCAACGGCATAGCTTTTTGGATGGTTAAACAGCCTCTTCCAAGACATGTAAGATGGCTGAACTGTTGAAGATGCATCTGTCAATTTCTGTAACTTTTCAAATAATCGGATGCGCACTTTTCAAAGACTTTACTAGAAACATTTGAAGATAGGAAAGTGGGCAGGGTTTTAACTTCTTTCTCAGGCCCTCATTTGAGTTGTCCGAAAGGTTCTTCTCCCTCTTACCGAGCAATCAGCCTACTGCGACACTATGAAAGGCTTCTTAGAAGGACCGTTAAAAATGTAAACCATTTTACCTACTGTATATTTGAAATGATCTTGTCTCATACCTCAATGACTTTGCACCTGATCTTTCAGGGTGGCTATTAGGAAGTTAATATTTCAGCTATAAACTCTTTGGCACTGCAGAAAGGTCTAGACTTTTCTGTCATTTTCAAGAATTGGATGCAAAAAGAAGCGAAGCAAATCCCCAGTTCCTTTCAATTTTAAACCAGCTTCATTCAGGACAGGTGTAATCGACCGAAGCTGAGCTGCAGCAGCTTGTTTTATGTCCTAATTAAATATATGCTGCCTGCTGTACGTTAGCAAATGTTGTCTCACTCACCTTGAGTCTGAAGAAAAAAAGACAAATGTTCCATTTGACACCCGTGACAGAACTCGCTCCCTCAAGTGAACTCCTCGCACTGTGACATTGACAGTTCCAAACCCTTTCATTTTTCCAAACAACTCCTCCACCTTGCCTCTTTAATCACACCATTGATTCAAAGACTGTATGGATTTTCAGAAAACCGCCTTATACTGTTACCAACGCAATCGATGGCAAAGCCCAGCCATGCTTGCCCTCGAGGGCAGAGTAAACAGGTTCGTCAAGGAGAGCCAATGATGGATGGCCCCTGGCAGGAGGTAATCTATAATGTATCAGTGGCGTGTGTGAGTGCCGGACAGCTGAGACAAACAGAGAGAGATAAGGAGTGACAGAAATAGAAGGGGGCCCACAGAATAGATGGGCAGGTGAAGAAGAAGATGAAGCTTTGCTTTATTTCACTGAGATCTTTCATCTCCTCTCAGGTGGGTTTCACCACAGCACGAGTCAAAGCTGCTGGAGACAAACTCCACTCTGAGAGAAGACATGAGGCCCATGTGTGTTTGTGTGTGTTGCAGAATATTCTCCATGTCCATGAACTTAGTTACCTCGTTTATATGATAAGATATCAAGGTGGCTTAATTCTGTTTACATTATATCTCATAAAATTACAAAATGACTCCTGACCAAGGTGTTATAATAGGCAGTGTATTGCACTTTCAAATGTATTGTTTTTTAAATCTATATTATTATTATTTTTAAATATCTATTTCTTTATACATTTTTCCCTTTTGTTTGTTAAAATTTGTATTATTTATTTTCTTTCGTATTTTCTTTCTATGTATTGGCTTTTTAAGGCTAAATGAAACTGAAATTAAGTCTAAATTGAAGGAAAAAAAGAGTAGTTTGCATTACAATATATTAATAAAATATAAGAACAAAAATGTATCTTCAATGGTACATTTAATCTAAAACATTTCTTTAAGCTAATATTCAAAATGTAGACGTTGTTGAGCTCGACTGATAATGGATTTTTATTTATTATTAAAAATGGATTTTTATATTAGATATTTATTTATTCACATAAACGTATAAGGATATATCACTATTTAAAAGGATCCCTTACGTTTGGTTATTAAATAGTTGTGACCAGGCTATGTACGGCACAAGAAAAGTAAGTCATTTCTAGTTACTAATCCATCACCATAGAGATATATGATTTATGTTTGATAATCAAATATCGTCCAATATATCAGCCAGCACCCGGACCATCCATCACTCTACCTTTGACAGCTAAACCTCAGCTGACCTCACCCACATCGACCTCCCCTCAGCCCGAACATGCTCTCCTCCCCCAAAAACAGAAAAGGATTTAAAAACCACAAAAAGCCCATCGGCAGGGCCAAATGAAAATGTAATTATATGTGCATTATCGACAAATGCACTCATTTACTCTATTATTCAACTTATAAGAAAATAATTGATTTTCTCCCTCTCTCTGTTCCTCCCATGTTCCGTGTTCCCTCCCATCAGCGAGGTAAACAGAGGGAGGTCGGAGGTCAACAAGCCCCGAAGACGCTCATCATTCACACTGCAGCCAAACGTCAAAGGGCAAAGGGCTCTGGGAGTCATTACCAGGCTCTCTCCATGTGTGTGGGTGCTGAAATAGTTTTTTTTCTTTCTGTGAAATGTATTTTCAAACTTTCAGAATCTCATGTTCAAACACTGAGACACACCTCAGTCTCCGTGTTTGTCTGAAAATCTTGACAACTACTTCAGTTCCAGCCGAGCGTGGAGGATTGTCTCCCCGTCTCTAAATAATGAAATGAAACCATGGCATCGCATTGAGAAGCTGAACAATATTGGAAGGTAAAACACAGACTAGGGTGAGCAAAAAAGAAGCATGAAATAATAAGTAGTTTGGGGAACGGGGCAAATGTACTGGGCATGAAGATGAAAAATTCATAGCTGACTCGCAGCAGACAGACACCCCTCCCATCAGGAAGTGATACAGTGTCTGGCTGCTGATACAGCATGTGGGTCAACAAAGGAGGAGGAGAACTCGATAGACGTAACGGAGATATCATTCAGAAGAGAAAAAGCTTACCTGTACCTGCTGTATGAGGTCTAATACACAAGTGACTGTGGAAATCTATCAATTTCAAGAACGAGGCGATTATTTAAGTGCTAGCTCTAATTGCGGGATCCACCATTTTTATTAAGCAAGTCAATTGCCCCCTCGCTTCAAACACAAAGCATATCTTGTTTTGCCATTAGTGCTCTCTTCATTAAAAACAATAGCAAAAACTGAGTTTGGCAACATCATGAAGTAGCGTGGGATCATGGGAGTTGTAAGTCGCTTTGGATAAAAGCGTCAGCTAAATGTAATGTCATGTAACGTTGTCTTCATTATCGTTGCTGTTATTGCAGTCAGCTTCTCGTGGTAATAGCCTGGAGCCGGATTATTCATAGAGGTCTACTCTTCTCCGAAATAAAATTGTTGATTCAAATTGGTAAAGACATTGAATAAAGCAGTTTCAAGTAAAACAATCTCAGTTTTTCAGATGTTGCTTGCCACACACAGGATGTTGAAGTCTGCTCTGCCCCCTTCTAAAACGTCCAATCAATAAAATCCTTCATCCAATAAAAACATATAGTTAAAAACAACCAAAATCTCAAAAGCATATCTAACACTGTGGCTTAGAACTGGACAATAGTTCATTTATGACAGGTTTGGCAGAAAACCACAAATGACGCAGGCTCAAAAGGGAATAAAACCATTATCTTAATTGAAATGATGTATTTCCCTTGCGTTATTGTAAGTACACTACTTGACAAAATACACCGTATGACATAGGTCTTGTAATTTTTTTACATTTTAATGTGTAAAAGTTCTAATACTAAACCCTTTATACAGATGCCTCTATTAATACTAAAAAGCAGTTTCTTAGTCCAACACTTTGGTCCACAGTGAAATATTATTACCAATACTTAATGGTGTTTGGTTTAAATATTCAAAAACCCCAAGAACACATTTAGATGACACTGAACACTATCTCAAAAACAAATTACTTAACTTGTTTCAACAGGCTAAATGCTTACTCATCAAAGCTGACCAAACACACACTTATTGCTTATAGCTAACATCTGTACCCATTATGTACAAGTGGTACAATTAGTGGGGAATAAATACAAACTGCACAAAGGGTCCAGCAATTAACGTAAGCGTATAAGATCGGCACATGTTTCTGTCTGAACAGACACCTATACTGTAATGCGAACACAACAACGGTTACAGTCCTTGTTTAATTGTTGCATTAAATGTTGACGGTGCGGTCTCTTGAGCTAACCAAACACAAAAAGCTTTCTTTTTCAGCTCGCTGGCTTCCTCAACCGGTGCCCTCAGGCAAGTCCCTGGGTTATGGGCTTATGTTGTTGGTTGTGTTGCCTTTTTACTAAGATCTAATATTGAGGGGGCTTATTTGCAGCATAATCCTCTTCATTGTTTATTCATTCATAGATCACAGACTGGAGATGTTTCTTAGAAGTCTAACTGTTTAACCATGTGCTCGACTTAATGGGATAGAGGAATCATATCTGCTGATTGCCTAGCTACCCTCACAGTCATGTCAAGGAAGTTCCCCCTGCCTCTGGTACACAATGCTAAGCTAGGCTAAACATCCCTCTCCACGTCTAACTCTCAGCACATTTCAGTGCCTCAGACTTAAGATATGTTGTTCACCACACTAACTCCCTCTTCCGCACTTGTGACTAGCCCATTATGCTAACAATATAGCTAAGCTATTATGAGCTAAATAAAGAAATTGTATTAAATCAACAATTCCAAACAGCAATTATCAATGTCAAAATGTTGCAATGAGTTAAACAACATGTTGGTGGTTCACAATCCTTAAAACAATTTTTTTTGTTCTATAACTGGGAAGTGTTGAGGTAAAAATAAGTCTGTATTGGTCTTTAGATAGAAGTTGGTCACTGAACAGACACTGGGTGACTCTTTGAGCCATGTGTTGTCTCCATCAGGGACACGTCACTCCCTGTAACTATTCCTGTCCCTGCACAGAGAGTTAAGTGTGATTCAACTGAATCACAAAAGACACCGACAGTGTGATGGAACAACTGCCGTGCAGCGTTCATCCGCACGGATCAGATGGCACACACGGAGCCATTCTGAGTCAATCCAACACTGACAGATTTTTACACCAACGCGCCTCGTATTGACACAATGCATTCCCTAACCTCGCAATACATACCTAAACTCTTGGCATTGCACTTGTATAAAGTTGGGGGATTCAAATAACAAATAACACATACACTAATGCTCGACATGCAGTGCTTCTAAATACTTTTTCCATGACTAAGACGTGAGGATGACAAGACGACATCTACGTCATTGAAGAAGTGAGAGAAAGACAAAACACAAACTTTAAATGGACCTTACAAAGATAGAAATACAGGAGCACACACACACACACACCAGGAGGTGATACATAAATATGACAGCAGAAATATGACGCTCTCCTCCCTTCACCCTCTGCGGGACACATTCTGCCTGGAAAGCAGCTGAGGGGTATTTTGGATAGAACACACAGTCATGCACACACACAGATATATTCACAAATGACAAGAAAAACAGGATAAACTGAGGTCAAAGGTCACAGAGTGTCATGTGTGGTGACCGTGGGAGTGCTAACCTCCTGTGTGTGTGTTTGTGTGACATCCAGGCAACTCTTTTCAGAATCAAAACAAACTCCTCATTGCACATGGCTGCCACACACATCTGTCAACTTCAATAACTCATCCCCTTCTGAGTGGAGAGAGTGAGTGAGTGTGTGTGTGTGTGTGTGTGTGTGTGTGTGTGTGTGTGTGTGTGTGTGTGTGTGTGTGTGTGTGTGTGTGTCAGCAAATATCAGTGTGCCTGTGTTTGTTTGCATGTTTGTGCTGACAAGAGAGACAGGAAGTGTACTTACGACAGTCCTGCTCGTCGGAGTCGTCCTCGCAGTCGTTGTCCCCGTCACACACCCAGGAGCGGCGGATACATTTGCCGTTGTCGCAGTGGAAGTCCAGCGGCGAGCAGGTGGGAAGCACTGCAAACAAACAAGGCGAGACAAAAGCTCTGTCAGCACAAACAAACAAACACACAAACAGTGCCAGGCTGAAAGGAGAAGGGAGTTTGCTGTGGTTTTCAGGAGGTACTGTACACGACTATCCGATTTCAGAATTGTACTTTTTTGTCACTTTTCCTTTGCTTTATTCTTTTATATCGTATTTCCATGCAAGCTGCATCATTGTATCGTAGGATACACCATTTCAGTATATATGACTCCATATTGAAGGCCTGAGTGACGTTCAAATGAGAGATGATATGCAACATCATGACAGAGTTTCTGACGTTTAGCCTCTGGAAGTTACTCTTTATTTCAGGGCGATATGAGTCAAAATACAAGGAAATCTTCATTAATATCTCAGCCCTCCTAGAAAGATTGTAGAGTTTTGATACATTTTCTTTGCACGTCATTACCATGAGAAATATAACTATATGTAAATAATGTTTTTATCTTGATGCAAAACTACAAGCAGCCGCACAAAACCATTTAGAAAATAATACAGTCTAAAATTGGTAAAATGATCCTACCGAAGAAAACTGTAATAAAATAAGATTATGGATATGAGCTGCCGTTTTACATCAACCGATCAATATGGTAAAAATGCCTATTAGTTCAAATTGAGCCATTTGGCCGAACCTGGTTTCATCAACCCTTCTCTCTTTTACCCAATACACTACATATTATAAGTGTGTGTATGTGAACTGGGTCTCTGGGTAGTTGGGATGGGCATTTCTCACATTATCGACCACACCATAAAACAATGAATCATACAACTAATCTGCTGATTCTTTGCTACTAAAAAACAACAATAAATCACAGTGTTTTGATAATCAGATGTGACGTCAATCCAACACAGTGATGAAGCGCTCCCCGATCTCTCACTCATCACTCCTGCAGTAAAGGTCAGACACAGTTTAAATGCAGGAGGTTTAACTCTCTGTCTGGTCTCAGCTCATCCACAGGCTGATCTGGACCAACGCTCCTCTCTCTCACCTTCTTACCCCGAGACCCAGGACTCAGCTCAGAGCATTCCTCCTTAACTTCATATCCGCTCTAAGTGCAGCTACTCGCTATATCAGCACAGCACCAATGACTGGCCCTTTGTCATCTGCAGACAGAGCTAATTTAATTACAGGCCAGAGAGGGATGGAGGGAGGAGGAGGAGGAGGAGGAGAGAAGGGGAAAGGAGGCGAGGGAACAGCAGCTACGCACAGTGGACTCTCACTCGCTTGTCAATACCACATATGAAATATTGACCGAGCAACGCAGGCTTTATGAAAAATGAATGACGTCACGCAGCGAGTTAAGCAGCGAGGCAGACAGGCGGACGAGTCGGGGCTCAGTGAGTGAATTAAGTGAGTGTGTGTGAGTGTGTGTCGGGGTGTGGCTCTGCTCTCCAGGGGAAGCAAAAGCCCCACTGACCCACATACCCCTGTATGGATATTACATTATTCAGAGTGAAACACAAAGACAGAGAAACAGAGGTAATCAAACAGAGCTCTTTCTCTCGTCCGCCTCGTTCTCCTCACCTTCCGATGAACTTCTGTGGTTGGGCAACATTTGCAACGTGAAACACATTTCTGCAAGCAATTATCTGAATCTTACAATCAGTTTCTTTACGTCTCTCCCTACAGGCAGTCATTGGTTTCACTTCTGTTCAGCAGGATGGGAAAATCCACTTCTTCCAGATACATGAAATGAGACTTGAGATAAGTCATTCTCCATTACAGAACAACCATTTCAACCTTTACACTTTTTGTAAAAATGGTTTTGTCCTTTTGTAATAGCTTTCCTTCATGTTTCTATAACAGTAGCTCATTATAATTCCCTTTGTCTATCAAACAATCCATTTTACATGATGTAGCATATTTATGAAAAATGGCTGCTGCTCTCAAAACATAACTCTCTTTACTGAAATACATTACCATTCTTGATAAACCTCTCAATAAATCATAAAGCTGATAAAAGGTTTAGAAGATTTAGCAATGTATTTGTTTTTCTAAGAGTTTAGACATAGATTATTAGAATAATAATAACCATGTAGTATAATTTTGAACTAAGTTGATCAAAAAATCATTGAGTTTCCTGATGTAATAATGAGTTGGCAGACAGGAATGGGAGACATGTTTGACAGTTGATCATTGAACATAAACATAAAATATGATATTTGATTTTACTTACTTTAATTTGTTTAAGTCAACAAAATTAATCTACATGTCAAACAAAACAGACAATTTAAATATGTCAACATGGGCCCTGGGAAATAAAACTTGTATAGGAACAGTATTCCAAAACTATTGATTTGCATGGAATGGTCAATTTAATCACAATTAGTCTCAAATTGTGAAGCCATAGTCCTCAAGGCCATTAGTCCCTCTCAATTAACACAATTGGTCTTCAAAGGCAAAGTGCAGAGTTCAATATTTGCCAGGAATGCTGCAATAAGTGGCAACTGCAGTACAATGCACAGTGATCTGATAAGTTGAGTCCTGACGCCAACACACTTCCTACAAACCTCTCTTTGTCAAACTGAAGCATTCGAACGTTTTTTTGGATGAATCCCCCAACAAGAAAAGAAAAATGCCTCTTTTCAACATTTCAATAAATAATTCAGCTTATCAGAAGAGGAACCACACACACACACACACACACACACACACACACAACACACAACACACACACACACCACACACACACACACACACACACACACACACACACACACACACACACACACACACACCTAAGCAAACCGTCGTCACACCGGTTAAACAAACACACTTGTCCATAGCGCAGAATTGTTTAGGCCCACAAATTGGGAGCGTTGCAAATTGTATGCAAATAAACACTTCACTGTCTCTTTTTACTCGTACACACACAAGGTCAGGCAGGAGGAGGGGACTGTATACTTGTTATCAGTTGGATCAGCATGGAGCATTCTGGGAAGGTTGATGAGGCCTCTGGGCGCTTTGATCCCTCTTATCACACAGATTCTGCTCAGCTCAGCGCTGCTCTTAAATGCTACCACTGCATTCCGCTGACGCTGACACACACACACACACACACACACACACACACACACACACACACACACACACACACACACACACACACACACACACACACACACACACACACACACACACACCACACACACACACACACACACACACACCACACACACACACACACACACACACACACACACACACACACACACACACACACACACACACACACACACACACACACACACACACACCTTCTAGGAATCGTTATATATTACTTTGCTATACTACTTGGAATGGAAATGAAGGATTTGAATGAAATTCTCTTCAATCGTCACACAAATATACATATATAGTGACATATAGTTTCCGCATTTTGATACCTCTCAATGTACCAGTCCACACTTCATACGTGGTGTGATCCGGGACTTGAACCGCAGACCCTCGGGTTCCCAGTACAGATTGAGCTACTTCACCTCTATCTCATTCCAACATTTCTCACAATGCTTTTTGATCTCAACAGGAAAAGTGGGGTTTCTTTGTTTACCAAGTTACAAACACTATTAATGATGTACGTATCTTCCCATATAGGAAAGAAGTAAGAGCGCTGACATAATTATGCCGCAGCAAAAAACGCATCAAAGACGGTGTTACATTTCACAAGCATCTGATGACAGATGCACGACAACGTAATTTGGTCCATTTCCATCTCCTGTTGTGCTCCATTCATTATGTAATATTGTCACGTCCTACTGAGCGTTTGATGTGGATGTTTGCTTAAAGAACTTGCCAAAGCATTTGACATTGACGTTCATTCACCACCCATACTTCTCATCCTGTCCCACTTGGTCATCCCTAACCCACACAAACAAGTGAAGGCCTTTTTTTCAGCTCATTTAATTCCTGATGGTATAAAGCTAAACAGATATTTTCCGTCATATAAGAATCTGTATTTTTCCTTTTGCATCTCCTGATGTCAAGCATTGAGCCAAGATAATGAAGATGTCCAGTTCACCACAAATGTTTCCTGGAGAGACGAGGGAAAACTGGAGGTGACCCAACCGGCTTTAGACTGAAAGAGAAAACCTTTATTTGAGCCCCTTGGATGAGTTATTCTAGTCAGACAGCAGACTCCTCTGTCCTGCTGTGAGGTCTCGGCCTCCACTGAATGCTGCTCTTTAAACTGCTATCCAATGTTGTATTTTTATAACTATTTGTCTGTGAGAATGTCCTTTACTTTTTATTATGTATCTTTTAATCTCAAAGAGCCCTATCGATGTTGCATGCTCATTGGCTGTGTCTTGGAATAAGATTGCGTGGGTCTGGTTTACAGGATTGTGTGTGTGTGTGTGTGTGTTTGTGTGAGTGTTCCATGTCCTAAGGAAGATGTATGTGTGCGTCTTTAAGTGGCCTTGAGCGGCAGAGTTAATAGCCTCCCCTTGACTGTAGAGCAGCTGAATCAAGTGGCCGTAATGGGACCAATATATCTGCCTAAACATCGCTTATCACTCTGGCTCGATGGATGGGAGGCTGAGAGAGAGAGAGAGAGAGAGAGAGAGGCGAGAGAGAGACGAGAGGAGAGAGAGAGAGAGAGAGACGAGAGAAAGAGGAGGAGATGAGAGAGAGAGAGAGAGAGAGAGATGAGAGAGAGGATGAGAGAGAGGAGAGAGAGAGAGAGAGAGAGAGAAAAACAGATGTGTTACTCTAGAGAGCGATACATGAGCCTGCGAGTCTAATGTGAATATCTCATTCCGAGGAGCTTAACAAAGGTTTTCTATTTCAGTCCAAAACATGTCGGTTCATCTCCGGATTACTGTCGTCTCTACCGGGAACATTTATTCACGCTGGTGATCTGTGTATTTTTCATTATTTTGTCACATGTTTATAGCAGCCATTACACACAGACAAACACACACTTGCATGATTGTGCTAATTTAGCTCAGTTGAGGGTAAACTGTGTTGTCAAAAAGA